GCCCTTCAACTGAAGAATGGATAAATAAAATGTGGTACATATACACAATGGAATACTACTCAGCAGAGAAAAACAATGACATCATGAGGTTTGCAGGCAAATGGATGGATCTAGAAAAAATAATCCTGAGTGAGGTAACCCAGACTCAGAAAGACAAACATGGTATGTATTCACTCATAGGAGGATACTAGATGTAAAACAAAGATGACTAGACTGCTACTCACAACTCCAGGGAGGCTACCTAGAAAACAGGACCCCAAGAAAGACACAGGGATCGCCCAATGACAGAGAAATGGATGAGATCTACATGAACAACCTGGACGTGAGTGGGGGTAATGAAGGGCAAGGGTCGAGGGAAAGAGAGCTTAGGGGAGCGGGAGATCCCAGCTGGATCAACGACAGAGAGGAAGAACAAGGAATAGGAGACCATGGTAAATGAAGACCACATGAGAATAGGAAGAAGCAAAGTGCTAGAGAGGTCCACAGAAATCCACAAAGATACCCCCACAATAGACTACTGGCAATGGTTGAGAGACAGCCCGAACTGACCTACTCTGATGATAGGCCAAACACCCTAATTGTCGTGCTAGAAACCCCATCCAATGACTGAGGGAACCGGATGCAGAGATCCATGGCCAGGCCCCAGGTGGAGCTCCAGGAGTCCAATTGGCGAGAAAGAGGAGGGTTTGTATGAGTGAGAATTGTTGAGACCAAGGTTGGATAAAGCACAGGGACAAATAGCCAAACGAATGGAAACACATGAACTATGAACCAATAGCTGAGGAGCCCCCAACTGGATCAGGCCCTCTAGATAAGTGAGACAGTTGATTGGCTTGATCTGTTTGGGAGGCATCCAGGCAGTGGGACCGGGTCCTGTACTCAGTGCATGAGTTGGCTGTTTGAAACCAGGGGCTTATACAGGGACACTTGGCTCAGCCTGGGAGGAGGGGACTGGACCTACCTGGACTGAATCTACCAGGTTGAACTCAATCCTCAAGGGAGTCTTTGCCCTGGAGGAGATGGGAATTGGGGTGGACTGGGGGTAAGGCGGGGCGGGGGGCGGGAGGGGGTACAACAAGGGAATCTGTGGCTGATATGTAAAATTGAATTAAATTATAAAATAAAAAAGAAAAACATGTAATCGCATTAATAGTATATTAGCAATAATAGTAATATCATATCCTTTGTGACATACACTGAGCTATGACATTAGATATGTTTTGAAATATATAGCACTTATATAGAATATATACTTTTGAGTCATTGTCACATGAAATTTACAATTATGAGATTCTGTAAATGTCTTCTTGGGGAGCCACTCATCATTGTATGCTTCATTATTCACATTTTCTGAACCCCAATGAGATTGATCAGCTATTAATAGGTAATGTGCTAGAAGCCTCAGAATTTCATGAGAAACACCGTGTAAATAGCAAGGGTTTGAATAAGGACTTTTTCCATTACTTGGCAACAAGCCAAGGAAATTGTAAAAAAAAAAAAATCCTACTTGTTCCTTCTATAACCAAACTCTATTACCTGTGGGACAGAGGCCTTGATGGGGTTGAAGACTAATAGTTTCTATTAAGCACTAGGTTTAGATTCTTCAGGATAGTATAGCTTTGGAATAATCTCTGTAACAGGCCATTTACCTATGTTCTGGACATCTCTGGATTTTAGTATGTGTCTCATGTTTGATGTTGTTCTTGTTGGTTGTAGATCTGTTTTTGTTTAGGTCATTACCCTTTATTTCTCCTGGACAATACTTGAAAATCATTCCTATTGTACATAGTTTTGTATTAGGTTAGAACTTTCTTATTTAGACAAAAGGGGGAGATGTAGTGAGTAGCTGTTCTAGCTATGACCTTGAAGTACCACCCGTAGTGAGGCAGCAGGTAACTGCTACACCTGCCTATGACCTTGAAGTACATGCCCCTGAGGTGTGGCCACTTGGGACCCTTAAGACATGGAATGCACATACATGGTGCTCTCTTCACTCCCTCATGGTTTGGATGCTGGGACCGATGAGGCAGATCTTGGAAGAAGATCAGTGTGGGACATAGCTCGGCTTTCCCGAACCCTATGATAAATACCTGTGCTGTAGTGAGTTACCTCCTAATAAATTCCCTTGCTCATTAAATAGACTCTGTGGATTTCTCACATTATAAGTACCCTTTTTTACTTTAAGAGGGAAGAAACAGGGCACAACTATATCTAGACAATGCAAAACCAAGCTCCAACAGTGTAACAACTTAATGCTCAATATCTATCTGAGAATCACTCATACTCCTCTGGGCTTGCCCAAGGGACCTGGGTCACCTTTCTGGCCCTGTCCTTGGCAGCATATACAGACTGTCTTCTAGGGTCCAGTCAGCTCCTTTTCATCGAGGCTGTTGTTTTTGGTGGCCATCATATGGTACCAGCATCTCCCAAACTACTGGGGTCCCTCTCTTGGGCTTTCTTTAGGAACTCCAGTGCTGCCACATAGTGCCAAGCCTCAGCTGATCTCCACGACCCCTTCATGTCTTTAAAACCAATACCATCTGGATGGCTCTTACATTACAATGTTTGGCTGCCAACACAAGGTACATTTTTATGTATAAACACATGGAGGTTCAGTTTCAATACCTTAATTATACAATCATTGTTTTTATCTTTCATAAACTTTGTTTTTATGACTTTGTTTTCAGGACAAACATTATCATACAAAAATCCATCCTAATCCAAAATATTTTGGACACCTGGTGTTGCCTCCTTGGTTGGTTTATACCATGTGGTCCCTTTAATCGAGATGGTGTTGAAGTCATATGGCATCCACCCTCTCCAACCCTAGCAAAGGTCGCTGCCAGTCACCTGGCTTCCTCCATCCAGATGAGTGACAGTGGCTAAGGTAGCATCATGCCTTATTTAAGATTATCTATGTATAGATTTTTAACTATCAACCCCCTGTGTTACGAGTTTTAAGTTAACATTTTTTTGTTATTCAATAAACTTACAAATCTTGAGGTACAAAAAGTTCACATAATAGTCTTATAAATCTTGAGATAAGATTTATATCTTAGCAAAAGTTTTAGACAGTTAAATGAAACCAATAATCTAACTTTTTGTGTGTGTGTCTATTTTGCTTTGATCTCGTTTCCCTGTCACAAAATCGGGTGGACCACCTGATACAGGACAGTTGGAAGTTAAACAAGCATGCTTGGGTCTAGAGGAGGGAGAACCATAAACTCCAAAGCCAGATTTTCAATATAATAGAACAGCATAAAACAACTTCAATTTTATCAACACCCCAAAGACATTTGAAATTCCTGATAACCTGAATCTAGTGACTAGAAAGCTCGGAGTCAATTCTGAGCCCTGACAATCAAAGCAGCCATGGCAAGTGGCATTAGCTGTGGTGGCTAGTGGCTGCCAGTGGCAGAGATAGTAAAACCAAAACCAATAAACACAAAACACGGAAAGCTTACACACTCAAAGGAGACTAGTCAGAAACAAAATATGTGGTGGCTACCATCATTTGAACACACCAGAAACCACAGACCCATCCACACACACAGCAGACCGACAAAACTTTCTAAATAACCAGAACTAGGTAGGTGGGAGGGTGGTCTTGCTTTTTTCCTGGGTCCCATTGAACTCCTCTACATCCCAGATCAGGATCCCTCAGAACAGAACCAGATACCACAGAAAATTACTATGATTTACTAGGGGAAAACTCTGTAGATCAGTAGTTCTCAACCTTCCTAATGCTGTGACCCTTTAACAGTTCCTTATGTTCCTACCATAAAATTATTTTCATTGCTACTTCATAACTGTAACTCTGTTATAGTTATGAATACTAATGTAAATATCTGATCTGCAGGATATATTTTCAATGTTAAAAACTGAACATAATTAAATATAGTGATTAACCACAAAACAATATGTAATTATATATTTGTAGTTGTTTGAATAGACTTAATTGACCTATAGAGAGTGGTATTGTTTGGAGGTATGGCCTTCTTGAAGTAAGTGTGTTCTTGTTGGAGGAAGTGTGTCACGGTGGGGGCGGACCTTGAGGTCTCATATATTCAAGCTATGCCAAGTGTGGGGCACAGTTCACTTCCTGTTGCCTGTGGAGGATCAAGATATAGCACTTTCAGCTCCTTCTCCAGCACTATGTCTGCCTGCATGCTGTCATGCTTCTTGCCATGAAGATATGAACTAAACCTCTGAAGTGTAAGCCAGCCCCAATTAAATGTTTTTCTTTATAAGCATTGCCATGATTGTGGTGTTTCTTCACAGCAATAGAAATCCTAACTAAGACAGTATTGTGAAATATTTATTTCTAATTACTAGTAAATGAAATTTTGTCTTGAAGCATGGTGTAGCATGGGTAACAGTCTTAATGTAACAACAGTAAACTTCATTGCTATATTTTGCAGCAGTATGCATAAAGAGCCAACCTCAGTTGGAAGGTTGAGATTGCTTCTTTCTCGTCAGATCAGAAATTCTTGGGGCAGTCTTCGCAAGCGCACAGTGAAGATCCTCTTTCATAACAAGTCTACCGCTGTATTTAGACTTGATAACCGAGCTGGAAAACTCGGTTTCATAAAGATGTTGTTGGAAATGGAAGAAGGACAGCACAGTCTCAGACAGAAGGGATATGACTGCAAACCCTTGATCCAGAATTCTGTAATGGCACTGTAGAGACATCAGTTCTCAGGGCATTGCTGCTCATGCGCTCAATGACCTCCTCTTGTGCTGTCTCGGGAACACCTTCAACTTCGACTGCGAATGGGCTTCCGGCAAGTGGAAATGGGGTGTCAGGTAGATTTGGAAAATAGGATGAAATTTCATCTGTAAGCATGTGCAAGGGTTCTTTCACAGAAATTATCATCATAATCCTTTGGTCTGGTTCACTGTCATGTTCCTCAAAGAAAGCAGATAAGGTAGGCAACGTGTAAATTTATTTTCATCCAGTTTTTTTCTTTCTCCCCCCCTTTTTTTTTTTTTTTTGCCAGAGCTGAAGTTTCATTTGGAATGATCATATCTTTTCAGACAAATGGAGACATGTTTCATTTGGGCCTAGCAGTATAAATTTAACTCATTCAAGATGGTAAAGATGTCCACCAAGTAAGCTATTTTCTGCAATTCACTTTTATTGCTGAAAAGTGTTTTGAACTGCGGTCTTGCCTTCTAATTAAAAAAGTTTTGAGTTCATCACGAAGCTCAAAAGCATGTTTAAAAACTCTTCCTCTGGACAACCATCTCACTTCAGTCTGAAATAGCAGAGCTTTGTTTGGTGCATCCGAATGCATAGTTGGCAAAAGAGCTGACTGTTTAAAGTGCTCACCTTTACAAAATTGACTGAACTAATGACACTTTTCTTTACTTCTTGTAACTCATGTGGCATTGTCTTCATTGTTAATATTTGCCGATGAATCATACACTGAGCTCTGATGACTTTTGGTGACTTGTTCAGTACCAAAAGTTGAAATCCAGATCGATATCCTAGCGTAGCTGGAGTGCCATCTGTGCGAACACCACAAACCTTTTCCCACAAGATCTTCCGCTCTTTCACAAATGAACCAACCGTGTCAAATTTATCATGTGCAGTAGTTGTTTCAAGAGGTTTGCAAAAAGGAAATTCATCTTTCAAGTCGTTATCATTGATATCCCTCACATAAACCAGTAACTGAACAGTTTGCAAGTCTAAATTTGTCAAGCTGGATACTAAGTATTGGAAGTGGAGCAGATTTAGTTTCCTGGATTACCTGATTGAGAATATCAGCAGACATGCCATCTATTCTTCTGCGGACAGTGTCATTAGATAAGGAAACTGCACTCAGTTGTGTAACAAATTGGTCTCTGATCAAAACTTGCACTTGTCTTTGGCTGCTGGCAACAGTAATTCCTCAGCAAAGGTGTGAGGTTTCATAGTCCTGGTGATTCTGAGTGCCACCAAATATGAAGCTTCAACAGCTGCTATGTTTTGTTTGTGGTACTTTCCACCAGTGTCAAGTCTGGCTTTCTTGAGTCCATCAGCTTTGCTTCTAACATAGGTGGTATTCTTGCCAGCAGAGCTCAGATGCTTGCTGTCAAAATGGCATTTTAGTTTGTTCAGCTTCATTGATTTGGCTGATAGAACTTCACAACAAATAATACATTGCGGTTTCCCAATTTCTGCTGTAATAATTGAGGTAAAAATCCTCACTATCTTTTCTTAATGTTCTTCTCTGTATGATTCACTATCATGGGATGGTTTTCTAATGAAAATAATATATAACAATAACTTTAATAATACAAAAGATGATACATGGCATAGTTCAGTCAATACAGTTTCTTTTTAAAAACATACCTGTTACTATCGCAAAGGGGCAGCATTCACATCAACCACAGCTTAATATAAAAAGACCTATAAGCATCCAGATTAATTTCCCAATGTACAGATTTTTTATAGTAGTTGATGATTTTGCAGTACATGGTTTTACATTTACCTAGTAATTGTAATTCATGAAGTGTCATTTTACTTCCAATACTGCTGTTTTCAACTCAGTAGCTGCTTTCTACACTTGTGTGACTGGTCTGAATAAGTAAATTATGGAGCCGGCCCTGTCACATACAACTGTATTTGGTCAGGGCATCTGTGATGGGGTTTGTGTGATGATGTCATCATGCTATGACTCATATATGGGCATATCTGCATGTGAGCAGACCCTCCTGGAGATAGATAGAGGAGCAGTGTCTCAGTTCCTGAGACCATCAGAAATATGTGTTTTCTGATGGTCTTAGGCGACCCCTGTGAGTGAGTCATTTGAGTCCCAAAGAGGTTATGACCCATAACTTGAGCACTGCTGCCATAGGTGCTTGCTACTTTTCTCAGCTTGGCAGTTCACTCTGTCCACAAAACAGAAAGCATGCCTTGGGGCCTTGGAATGTCTGAAGGTGTGCACCTCCAGAGGTGGCCCCTCAGCCATGGAATCCTGGGTGAAGTCCGACTTTAGGATTGGGTGGGTGGTCTGATCTCTCTGGGGCCTCCAGAAAATGTTAATCCCACCAGGCAAGAATAATGTCACTACCACAATTAGTGAGCCAATTTTGAAGCAAGCTTTATTGAATACTTGCTAGAACAATGGACACTGGCCAGGTCTATACCCAGGATTCCCAGAATATGGTGCTGAATTACATTAGTCAGAGGCTTATAAAGGCAAACCCCACAAGGCTATGTATTTCCTGCCTTTGTCCAATCAGGGGCAGGATTACATCCTTACGTACTTCCTGTTTATGTACCTCCTGCCTACCTGTGATCAAACACGTTCTGTGCAGCTGGGGCAACCAAGCTTGTTTACAGAAGTGAAGACATGTGGCTTGTTATCTTACATCAACAACAGCTTCCAGCATTTCAGAAGGTTATCTGTCCTTGGGCAAATGGGGCTTACAGATTAGAGGCATTTTTGTTTTATAGATATCTTAAGCACAGTAATTAAAACTTAAAACATAACTTTAGCCTTTATAATGCTTATAGTTGCAGCACCAGGAGGTAGAGGCAAGAAAATGAAAGAGTTCAAGGCCATTCTTTGCTATGTGGTGAGTTTGAGGACAGCATAGACTACCTGAGACTCTGCTATGAACAAATGAACAGATACTAGAATAAAAAAACTTTGGAATATTGTAGTGGGAAGTTTCTCCAGTCCTGCCTTGCCCAGCTGTCCGGATGAATCTCTCCCACCCGTAGTCCTGCAGCTGCTTATAAAATAATTACACAGAGGCTTATATTAATTACCAACTGTATGATCTATGGCTTCAGCTTCTTGCTAGCTAGTTCTTTCATCTTAAATTAACCCATTCCTATTAATCTATGTATTGCCATGTGACTGTGGCATTACTGGTCTGCTGGCATCTTGTTGCACCTTCAGCAGTGGGCTTGTGTCTCTCCCCATCCACCTTTCTCTTTCCTGTATCTCTGCTTGGATTTCCCGCCTGCCTCTAAGCTGCCGTTCCATAGGCCAAAGCAGCATATTTATTAACCAATGGGAACAACATATATTCACAATGTACAGAAGGATATCTCACAGCACTTCCCCTTTTCTGTCTAATCAAAAAGGAATGTTTTAACTTTAACATAGTAAAATTATATGTAACAAGACAGATATCAAGCAAGAGTTAAAGTTACAATGTCTAGTCTATTTGTATTTGGCAAAATTAGAAAATATTCTATCATCTATTCTATTTTTGTGAGTCTAAAGTTTTATATCTAATTTATCTCTTATCATGACTAAGGAAAATTATAACTATCTAGTCTTCAACTCCATCAAAGACCTCAGAAGGATATAATATTACCCAAGTAAACAGGAAGTGTATTGTAAGTAACTTCCAAAATTACAGAAATGACAAAGACATCTGGCTGCCTGGACAGTCATCCAAAGTTCCTCTGAAATGTTGGGGCATCCATCTTCAGCATACTGGCCTAGAGTCTCTGGCAGACATTTTAGTGAAGCAGGAAATTTGAAGGATTGTCTCACCTATTGGCAAAGTTCATCAGTTACTTCTCCCTGTATACTGCAGAATGTCTGGCAGTCTCCTCTATGAAGCAGGAACATGAAGGACCCTCTCACCTTGCTAAGTTCAGTGGTTACCTTCCTATGTGTCCTGCATGTCCCGTTTATACAACATACTGTCAAGCAGTCCAGGCAGGAGCGATTTCTTGCCCAAATGGCTAACTTTTGCCATAAAGAAAGCAAACTCCATAATGAGTTTCTTCAATGCACATCATCCTCTTTGAAGTAATTGTTGCTGCCAGGAGCAGATGTGTTTCATTGTCCAGAAAAGTCTTAAGTTTTTAAAACATTTTAAATGCCATATTCTGTAGATCTTTAAAGTATTTGAAGATTATCTACCTAATTGAAATATATTTACGTATATGTAGAAAACTTAACTAACATGACTGTAACTTTGATTATCATAAATGACTAATTATTCTGTATTTTTAATTGTATATTAAAATTTTAAATGAATTGCATAAACATAATACCTTAAACAAGAATAGAAGTATATATATATACAGTATAACAAAATTAACTTTAAATTTGTATCAATAAACTAAAATCCATAGCAATGTAAAACATTTTAAACAAGTTGTTGCTGTTTAAAAGTAGATTCAATAACCTACCCTTTCATCCTATCATATCTATATCCCCTTTTTTTCTCTAGAAAGAAATTTCATTTATAATCAACCTCCTTTAAATAAAAATAAACATTTATAAACAATATTTTGGGAATTTGGGCGTAGCTTCTCATAATACTTGCTGCTGGTTGGGTGCACTTGGCAGTCTTATGGGGATCCTGAGAAAATTAAGAATTATAGTTAAATCTTGGCTGTAGTAGTCTGTGAGGCTATATTGACCTCACGGGGTCTTGTTTGATCAACCATATTAGCCTGTAATCAATTCATAGGTTCTCATCTCCTGTGGAAACAAAAGCAGAACCTCTTTTCCAAAGCAGCGTATCCTTAGACACAAAATTTGAAGTCAAGATACCTTTAAAATATACATATTGGTTTAACTGAGTAGTCTTTGCAATCAAATGTCTCTCTCTAGTTAAAAATCCCAAAGACAACACAATCCAGACTCTCTGTGTAATTTCCATCTTGGTTTTGTTTTTTGCTTTTCGAGACAGGGTTTCTCTGTGTAGTTTTGATGCCTGTCCTGGATCTTACTCTGTAGACTAGGCTGGCCTCAAACTCACAGAGCTCTGCCTGGCTCTGCCTCCTGAGTCCTGGGATTAAAGGCATGCGCCACCACTGCCCGGCATAATTTCCATCTTTACATGGCTTAACTTTTATATTACTTTTATTGTCTCTTTAAAGACTTATTTTTTAAAACTATCTATTTATTTATATAACTGCATATACTCCTTTTCCTTTTCTTCCAAGTTTATGTACATTTTTACACACACTGTAAACCATTTAGAGTTTTATTCCATCTGAATCTGTCTTATTGTGAATTTATAATTTCTTTGACCAAGAGAGATTTTAAATTGCTAAGCTGTGTGGCTAGGACCAACAAGGCAGCCTTGGCTGCTGACTCTGCCCCTTTTGGCTTCCCAACATGATGGAGGTACCCAAGAGAGTCACA